TAAGGAAGAAGTGTCAATGACTCTGAACTTACTGGTAAAACATTTGCATGCTAGAGGGTGGGAAATTAATCCCACAAAAATTCAGGCACCTTCCACTTCAGTGAAATTTCTAGGGGTCCAGTGGTGTGGGGCATGTTGAGACATTCCTTCTAAGATGGTTATTGCATAAGTTATTGTTCCCACAACTAAAAAGGAGGCACAATGCCTAGTGGGCCTCTTTGGATTTTGGAGGCAACATATTCCTCATCTGGGTGTGCCACTGTGGCCTATTTACCAAGTGACTTGAAAAGCTGCTAGTTTTGAGTGGGGACCAGAACAAGAGAAGGCTCTGCAACAGGTTCAGCCTGCTGTGCAAGCCACTCTGCCACTTGGACCATATGATCCAGCTGATCCAATGGTGCTTGAAGTGTCAGTGGCAGATAGAGATGCTGATTTGTGTCTTTGGCAGGCTCCTATTGGTGAATCACAGTGCGGACCCTTAGGATTTTGGAGCAAAGCCCTGCCATCCTCTGCAGACAACTACTCTCCTTTTGGGAAACAGCTTTTGGCTTGTTACTTGGACTTAGTAGAAACTGAACACTTAATCATGGAACACCAAGTCACCATGAGGCCTGAGCTTCCCTTCATGAACTGGGTGTTGTCTGACCCAAAGAGTCATAAAGTTGGACGTGCACATCAGCACTCCATCATTAAATGGAAGTGGTATATTTGAGATCGGGCCCAAGCAGGACCCGAAGGCACAAGTAAGTTGCATGAGGAAGTGGCCCAAATGCTCATGGTCTCCATTCCTGTCACATTACCTTCTATCTCCCAATCTGCACCTATGGCCTCATGGGGAGTTACATATGATGAGTTGACTGAAGAAGAGAAGACTCTTGCCTGGTTTACAGATGGTTCTGCGTGATATACAGGGCAGCACTCGAAAGTGGACTGTGGCAGCACTACAGCCCCTTTCTGGGACCTCCCTGAAGGACAGTGGTGAAGGGAAATCCTCTCAATGGGCAGAATTTCCAGCAGTGCACCTGGTTGTTCACTTTGCTTGGAAGGAGAAATGGCCAGATGTGCAATTATATACTGATTCATGGGCTGTGGCCAATGGTTTGGCTGGTTGGTCAGGGACTTGGAAGGAAAATGATTGGAAAATTGGAGACAAGGATTTATGAGGAAGACATATGTGGATAGACCTCTCTGAATGGGCCAAAGAAATGAAGATATTTTTGTCTCATGTGAATGCTCACCAAAGGGTGAACTCGGCAGAGGATGATTTTAACAATCAAGTGGATAAGATGACGCATTCTGTGGAAACCAGTTATCCTCTTTCCCCAGCTACTCCCGTCATTGCTCAATGGGCTCATGAAAAAAGTGGCCATGGTGGCAGGGATGGAGGTTATGCATGGGCCCAGCAGCATGGACTCCCACTAACCAAGGCTGACTTGACTGCAACCACTGCTGAGTGCCCAGTCTGCCAGCAGCAGAGACCAACACTGAGTCTCCGATATGGCACCATCCCTTGAGGTGATCAGCCAGCAACCTGGTGGCAAGTTGATTACATTGGACTACTTCCATCATGGAAAGGGCAGCGTTTTGTTCTTACTGGAATAGACACACTGGATATGGATTTGCCTTCCCTGCATGCAATGCTTCTGCCAAAACTACCATCCCTGGACTTACAGAATGCCTTATCCACCATCATGGTATCCCACACAGCATTGCCTCAGATCAAGGGACTCACTTCACAGCAAATGAAGTGGGGCAGTGGGCCCATGCTCATGGAATTCACTGGTCTTACTATGTTCCCCATCATCCTGAAGCAGCTGGCTAGATAGTACAATGGAATGGCCTTCTAAAGACACAATTACAGTGCCAGCTAGGAGGCAATACCTTGCAGAGTTGGGGTAGTGTTCTCCAGGAGGCTGTATATGTTCTAAACCAGCTTCCAATATATGGTGCTGTTTCTCCCATAGCCAAGATTCATGGGTTCAGGAATCGAGGGGTGGAAATGGGAGTGGCACTATTACCCTTAGTGACCCACTTGCAAGATTTTTGCTTCCTGTCCCTGCAACCTTATGTTCTGCAGGCCTAGAGGTCTTAGTTCCAAAGGAAGGAATGCTCCCACCTGGAGACATATCACTGATTCCATTGAACTGGAAGTTATGAATGCCCCCTGGCTACTTTGGACTCCTTCTGCCTCTGGATCGACAGGCAAAGAAGGGAGTTACCATTCTGGGTGATGTGATTGATCCTGATTACCAAGAGGAAATCAGATTGATATTACATAATGGAGGTAAAGAAGAGTATGTCTGGAATGCAGGAGATTCCTTAGGGTGTCTCTTAGTACTACCATGCTCTGTGATTAAAGTCAATGGAAAACTACAGCAACTTAATTCCGACATGACTACTAATGACACAGACTCTTCAGGAATGAAGGCTTGGGTCAGCCCACCAGGCAAAGAACCATGACCAGCTGATGTGCTTGCTGAGGGCAAAGGGAATACGGAATGGGTGGCAGAAGAAGGTAGTTCTAAATACCAGTTACGGCCACATGACCAGTTGCAGAAACGGGAACTGTAATTGTTATGAGTATTTCTGCTTTGTATGTGTGCATCAAATATTTTTGTTTCCTTCACTTAGAAAATATGTAAATGGGGCTAGTGCATTTTCTATAGTACACGTTAGTTGTGTCATGTTAGGCACAAGTATGACTTTCTAATTGTCTTTATTCAGAGATTAAGGAGAAGTGTACATGTGTCAAGTTGACAAGGGGTGGACTGTGATGGTTAAGATTGTGTGTCAACTTGGCTGGGCCATGATTCTCAGTGTTTAAATGTCATCACTCTCATGATTGAATATACTGTGAGTAACCAATCAGATGAAAGGGAGTTTCCTTGGGGTGTGGCCTGCATCTGAATATAAGCAGACGTTCTGGCTTTTTGCTCACTCTGGATCCTGCGGCTGCCTCCTGTTGTCTTATCTCCTGTTCTTTGGACTTGAGCTGTCAGCTTATCTGCCGAACTTGGGATTCGTTGATCGTCACAGCTTGTCGGTGGAGCTTTGCTCTCTGACCTGCTGATGTTGGGTTCGCCAGCCCCTGCAGCTATGTGAATCAGGAGAAACCTTGCAGTCTTGCCTGCTCATCTTGGAATTCATCAACCTTCACAGCCTGTGAGCGGGAGCCCTGTTCTCCAACCTGCCGATCTTGGGCTCACCAGCTTCTATGGCTGCATGACTTGGGAGAGGCCTCTACCCTGATTCATGGACTTGGGACGTTCTAGCCTCTACAATCGCATGAGCTGTTTCCTTGATATAAATCTCTCTTTCTATATATATTTATACACTTTACTGATTTTGCTTCTCTAGAGAACCCAGCCTAAAACAGTGAGGAACTGGGTGATTTCCTGATATGCATGCTATGTTAAACTATCAATTGGCTATCCCTCTATTGAGGTGAGAGCTGGTTGAAAGATATCTAAGAACTCCAAATGGTCTTACCTGCCTTTACTCTGGGTATGCAATGGCTTCCCACCATTTGCAGGAGCCATAATATCTTTTTTCTTTTTCTAAATTTTATTTATTTTATTGTTGTTGAGAATATATACGACAAGAACATACATCAATTCAAAGCTTCTATATGTACAATTCAGCGACACTGATTACATTCTTTGAATTGTGTAACCATTTTCATCCTCCTTTTCTGACTTATTCCTTCCTCATTGCCCCCTCACTGCCTCCTAAGGTTCCTATCTAATCTTTCCAGTTGCTGTTGTCACTTTGATCCCATATACATAGTTCTTAAAGGAGCATAATGCTCAAGGCAGACATTTTTTACTAGTTAAGCTAAACTATTGTTTGGCTTTAAGATGACTTCAGGGTATATTTTTAGTTTAAGGTTTAAATATTATCTCAGGGCAATAGTTTCAGGGATTCATCCACCCTCCGTGGCTCCAGAAAATCTAGAGTCCATGAGAATTTGAAATTTTGTTCTGCATTTTCCCCCAGGAGCCACAATATCTTGACTATACATATCTAAAGTCAATAGAAGTCCCTGGTGGTGCAAATAGTTCAGTACTAGGCTACCAACTGAAAGATTGGTGGTTTGAACCCACCCAGAGGTACCTCAGAAGAAAGGCCTGGTGATCTGTTTCTGAAAGGTCACTGCCTTGAAAACCCTATGGAGCAGTTCTACTCTGCAACACGTGGGGTCGCTATGAGTTAGAATAGACTTGATGGCAACTGGGTAGTTAATAGATGTCTTAACCTATCATGGCTAGTTTAGGTCTGAGCACCTTCTGGGTAGGAGAGTCCTTCCAAGGCAAAGGCACTCTGAGAGTAGACAGGGAGGGTCTGAGGTGCTCAGAGGAAAGTTGCAGGGATGATGGTGGGGAGGAGGGGAGCAGCAGAAATGGGTAGGATTTGAGGATAGAAAAAGTGCCAGAAGCATCTGTATGGGTGAACAAGATAGAGGGTATCATTAGCGGTATGGAGGAGAATGGAGAAGAAACAAAGACTCACAGAGTTATAGAGCGGGAGAGCAGTAAGGGTAGGAAAAAGGCAGTGTAGGCCAATGCTGCATATAACCTTGTAATAAACTCAAGCCTGTCAGGCAGTAAAAAATAGGACCTGGAGATGAGGTGATTTACTTTGTAGCCCCTGTCCCCCCGTCCCCATGCCATGTCTGACTTGTGTGGAGTGTCTGGGTATTTGCGCTTTATCCCAGAAGTGAGCCTGGGATGGGCAGAGTGGGTGCTCAGCTGCGCAGGTAGGAGCCTCTCAAGCTGACATAAATAAGAGCACTTGGGCGTCTGAGCCGACAGATTTTCTCTTTGACGCACTGAGAACAGACAGAGCAGATAGATATTTTCTAGAGGTTAAAATAACTTGGCATGGCTCCAAACCCTGGTGACCGGGTGCTGAGCTGCAGAGGGCAGCACTGAGTGTGTGGGAAGGTAGGTGTCTGCAGAGCAAACCCCTGAGTAGTAGGGATGGCAACAGCGGCCGCTTACCCAGGCTGACATCCATTGCAGCAGGTCTCTGGAAAGCAGCTCCTGAGGAATCCTGCCTCTGGATACCTGAGGGGATTACACAGCATCAGTGGATTTACATGCAACCAGCAAACTGCTTTCTTCTCTTATTTTGCCCCCTGAGGAAAGTGACCCTAGTTCAGATTTTCCTTGGAAATCAGCCATTCTCTCTGTGGTTGGCTCCACTTTTGGGGCTTGCAGAGGAAACAGAAAGCCTGGCCTCCTGAACAGTCCCACGGACCTGTGGAGGCCTAAGATGGCCTTGGAGCCCATGCCCTGACAAGCTTCTGATTCTTAAGCCCTTCTGTGCAGGACAACAGCATGTACATTGGCGAAGGTGCGATTGTGAAGCTCATGGCAGCTGCTAAGCCCCTGCCCTAGATCTAGTGTTAAGGCAGAACAGAACTTACAATGTCTAGGAAATTTTTTTTTTATATTGCCACTGTTGATTCTTTATTTTTTTGCCTATGTCTAGACATCAAACATTCTTAACATATGCATCAATAAAATACATGCTTCATTTGTTTAAAGTGTGTCCACAAAGGACCAAGAGAATTGAAATATTAATTACGTTTGATTTGTACGTAATCAGCTCCAACAAGGACAGAGAATAATCATTTCAGTACTAAGGTATCTGTCTTGACTCTCTTTACTGGTCTTCTCTCCTTTGACAGTCTCTATTCTTGGTTATTCCAATTAATTTGCTTTCTTTCTTTATTTTTTTTTTCTTTTTCCATTAAATACTCTTTTTAAAAAAATTTTTATTTTGCTGTTGTTGTAGAAAATATACTCAGCAAGACATACACCAATTCAACTCTTTCTCCATGTACAATTCAGTGACATTGATTACATTCTTTGAGTTGTGCAACCATTCTCACCCTCCTTTTCTGAGTTGTTCTCTCTTATTCGCATAAACTCCCTGCCCCCTAAGGTTCCTATCTAATCTTTTGAGTTGCTGTTGTCATTTGGATCCCGTATAAATAGACCTTAAAACAGCATAATGCTCAAAGCAGACATTTTTTACTAGTCAAGCTAAACTATTGTTTGATTTTAAGAAGATCTAGGAATCTTTTAACATGAGGAGGGCAGGTGAGCATTCACTAGCCAGAAGAAAACCAGAACTCCTCGATGGAGATCCAAGCTTTCTCTCCTAGTGCCTTGCAGTTTCAAAGGAAATTTTATTCTCTTATCAAGTCTATCACGAAGCATTGGTGGTTCAGTGGTAGAATTCTTGCCTTCTGTGTGGGATACCCGGGTTTGATCCTGGCCAATTCACGTCATGCACAGCCACCCCCTGTCTGTCACTAGAGGCTTGTGTGTTGCTATCATGCTCAACAGGTTTTAGCTGAGCTTCCAGACTAAGACTGACTAAGAAAAAAGAAGGCCTGGTGATGTAGTTTGAAAAAGCAGCCAATGAAAACCCTATGGATCACAACAGTCTGATCTGCAACAGATCATGGGGATGGGCAGCACAGGGCAGTGTTTGCCCTATTGCACATGGGGTCACCATGAGTTGGGGGCCAAGTCAATGGCAGCTAATAACAACAAAAAGAACATCATCAACACATGGAGCAGGCCCAGAGCACAGTTCGTGGAAAGCACCGAACCGTGCTAGATTTTCTCTTTTAATCTCTGAAGGTCTCAACAAAGTTGGAGAAGAGAATTTGCTTCATCCCTCTGCACTTCCAGATCTTGGGCTAAACCATTTAGGAGCGCACACAAAAGTGAAGAAAGGAGAGCCACGGAGGGTCACAACTCATAGGAGACTTCCTAGAGGAGAGAGAACGCATTTCTATACCCCATATTGTAGAAGTACCCAAGCAAAACCAGCTCTGTCCTTTCCTGGAGATGATAACATTCTCCGCTACTCTTTGAGCCTAGTTCCTCAAGCGTTAACCCCAGGTGGTATCCCTTTCCAGGTTTTAAAGAGCCTGGTTACTGAATCCTTAGGAATTCTATCACAACCTCCATGAAATCACCTCAAGGGAATTGAGGCTTTGCTTATTTAATGACTTCCTTACTTATCTTACAAATTTCCTTACAAGTTGGACTCTGTCAGGGCAGTATCTTCTCTTGGCCTAAATGGTTTAATTCTTTCTGTCCAAATTTAAATCAAGTGGCAAGGATTTGGAAAGACACACCCCATGTAAACAAGCTTAACTTTCATCCGTAGCTGGAAAGGCGAATTGAGGTTCTTACCTGGGTTGGCACTGGAGCTGTTTTGGCTGCTTGTGTAGGTAGTTGCGGACCAGAGATCTGCAATAACATGTTACTGGTCAGAGCATGAATTTTAATTTAACTGTTCTCATTCTTTCCATGATCCAATCTAGCAAGACATTACCAAGGTCAGAATCAAGGTAAACCTTCATCCTTGGGCGGTCTGAACCTGCCCTGGAGGAGACATCGAAATGGAGAAAAAAAAATAAAGGTGGATTTAACTCAAAAGACTGCCTGAAAATTTCAGGTAATAAAAACCTTTGCATTTCACAATTGTCAGAGTATCTTTTACCAAAGTGCCATATTTCTTTACACTTCATTATTATAATAATTCTCTTCAACTGTGCCACTCGTGAGGAGGTTAAGGTCATCCTTTAGTAGAAATGTCACTTAACATTTAGCAATTTGCTTAAACTGTGTTAACATGATATTGATGCAAATAGCATTAGCTTTCAGTCATTTTTGAAGGTACACAGTGGGTTATCCTTAATTACCCTGTGAGAGAATCAAATACACTTAAGCATTCATTATTTATTGGGCAATTTCTCTGAAGGAAGATTTTAAAGGGGAGAAGGGAGATGGGGATTCTGTAAAGAGAAATGTAAAGCCCCTTTTGGAGAATGGGGGCCACATGAAAACCAGTTGAGGGAAAGAACCAAGTTTCACGGAGGGGAAGAGATGAGAGGTCATGAAAAAATATCAATTTCTCTTACAATGGTATCTAATCTGCAATCAGTTTATGACTCCCTTTGCCTTTGGTTCAATTATTTGGACACAAACTCAAAATAGTTTTATGTTCTCTCTAATTATACAGATAACACATGCTCACCGTAAAAAATTATATACTATGAATAGTAACAAATCACCTGCAATCCCTCTATGCAGCAGTTACACATATGTAATTTTGGTATACATTTTGCTGTCGCTTTTCCTATGCACACATTCTCACGTACAATACGCAATTACAGAAATGAACTGGTGCCCATGCTATTTTGTAGCTCGCTTCTTTGACTTAACGTTCTGTCACGGGCTACTCGTCCCATGTCAGTAAGTGCACATGTTCATCATAATTTTAATGGCTGTGTAGTAATTTCATTGGAGTTCCTGGGTGATGCAAATAGTTAAAGCACTTGGCTGCCATCAGAAAGGTTGGAGGTTCGAGTTCACCCAGAGGCACCTTGGAAGAAAGGCCTGGTGATCTGCTTTTGAAAAATCAGCATTGAAAACTGTATGGAGCACAGTTCTACTCTGACATCATGGGGTTGCCATGAGTGGGGGTCAGCTCATTAGCAACTGGGTATAGTAATTTCTTTAACCGTTCTTCTAATAATAGACAATTAAACTGTTTTCATTTATTTTTCTATTATGAACAACACCTGTATACATTCTTGGCTGATAATCACCTTAGGATATATTCCTGTAAGTGCAAACTCTGGGTCATTTCTCCACACTCTTGCCAATACTGTGTATTATCATTTTTCAATCTGAATTAGTGAAAAGTGAGATCTTCTCAGTTTAATTTGTATTTATTTGATTCCTGGCAAAGTTGAACATCTTTTGTCATATTTATTGGCCATTTGTCATTCTCCCATTGTGTCTTTACTGATCATGGCCTTTACCTGTTTTTCTTTTGGAACGTTCATGTTGCTATTTGTAATACTGGATTTTAAGAAAAACCTTCACCATATGCCTTAAGGAAGATGGACGTTCACCGATGAGGTATATGTTGGTGAGAAGGGAAAATGTACATGGAAGGGATGGGCAGTTAGAGATGCTGGTCTCTCTTCCTGTCCCAGGTTTCATTCACCACTCCCTCCCCATTAACTACCTTTGGTCAGAGAAGGGGGTGGGGAGTAGGAAGATGAATGATCACAGCCACACCATCCCTGGACACTAGGCAGCATTCTGATCCCTTTCCCTGGCCTACCCTTGGTTGTGGATCCATTTAATCTGTTAGGTCAGCTGAGACAACCCTGGAACTTTTCAGAATGAACCTGACTAGGAAAACAGTGCTGGGCAAAGCCACTCCACCTTCTAAGCCTGCAGTAGATGCAGCTGACCCTGTAGTAGTCTGGAGCTTTTCCAGAGCTCTTTCCTAGGCATCTCTCTGGATCTGGCCCCCAAGGCTACTACCTCTGACCCTGGGGTGCAGCTTTGTGGCCGCCCAGGGTCCTGTGGGGCATTGTGGTTCTTGGCATCTCCCATGAAGAACAGCCTCACTCTTGTCCCTTTGAGAGGTCTCTGTCACTCTGGCTCTTGGCTCTCCTACCCTCAGCCTTGATTTGTTCCTGTCTGTCTTGTTTGGTATGCACATTCCTGGGTCAGTTAAGGGGCCATGATGTGGCCTTGGTGTCAGCCCCATTTTTCTTGGAGTCCATCTTCCTTGGAATCTTTCCACCTGCATTAGCTCCCGCTCATGGACTGGGAGAAGCCCTGTCTCTTCCTGCTACACAGTTCCTAGTTTCCACCAGACTCCCTCCAAGCCCCCATGTCCTGCTGAGAGGCATCTCTTTACCTCATTACAGAACAAAGATGACTCATGGACCCTAAGCCCCAATTGCAGGTCACTCCTGATGCCACCACATACTTCTCCAGTGTCCTGAGCTGAAGTGCTCTGCTGTGGGAGTCTTGTTGGGATGTGTTCCCCAATGTAGCCCAAGATCCTGGAATGGTGCCTGACACATTGTAGGCAGTCAATAAATATTTGTTGAATGAATTCATGAGTTATATTTTGCTTGAACATCTCATCTACTTCTAGAATCTTTTAACTACAGTCACATATATAAGAGAAAATAGAAAAATACTTAATAAATGCACTAATAGCAACTCACTTGTCTATCAGCAGTAGGAGTGTTGTTCTCTTATAATTGGCAGAATATTTTGAGCTCATTTGAAGAAAAAAAGGAGTTATTTAAATACCAAACATTATTTGATATAGTTGGGCTAAAATCTCACAGCAAATATCTACAACCATATGTTAAGACACAGGCATTCGTGAAAGTAGATTGCTGCTTACTGAGGGCTGGAGGGGGTGATAGGAGAAATGGTGACTATTAATGGGTAGGGGGTTTCTGTATGGGGTGATGAAAACATTCTAAAATTGATCGTCTCCAGTGAATATACAAAAAAGCACTGAATTGTATGCTTTCAATGGGTGAATTGTATGATACATGAATTATATCTCAATAAAGCTGTTATTAGACAAAAGACACAAGCATCGAAACCTCAGTTTTCACTTCTGTCCATGCCTACAGAAGATCCTTTGAGTAGGCAATATAATTTTTAAAAAGTTTCCTTCTACCCCCATCTTGGCTCCTTTCTTAGCAATTGCTGTGTTTGCTGCCTGGAGGGCCTGCTCTGAGTATTTGCCCAGCAGCCTGCAGGTCAGCATGGAAGACAGCCCTGGGCAAGGATGAAGAAGGAATGCTGGTCCGCTGGGAGGCTGCTGTCCAAAGCCCCTGTCCCCACGCCAGGAATAACGCAGCTTTGCCAGAGTGGGAGTCACTCCTTCAAGTTTCTTGAGGTTTTCCACAAGCTCAGGACCAACTTGTAGCAGGATTTCAAAGCTCCCAGTGTAGCAAGTAAATATGCCACATGTTTAATTGTATGTGTTATATAAAAATTGACGTCCTCTAAAGAGAAAACAGAAGAAAGCAACTTACAAATATGTGCTCAGCTACTCAAAAATCTTTGAAAGAATCACAGGTCTAAAAGTCAAGAGACTGAAAATAAAAAATAAAATAAAAAAAAAAAACAAGGAAAACTTCTGGCTGCGGAGCCCTCGTTAACCCGGCCATCTAGCATCCTTCCTAGCTGTGTGTCCGTGATAATAATTAGCCTGAGTTCTGTTAAGGGTGATGGTATAATTTGGAAACAGATAAGGCTGATGGTTGAACAACATGATAAGTATAATTAATGTCACTGTACATGTGAAGATTATTGAAATGGCAAATGTTTTGTTATCTATATATTTACCACAATAAAAGAAAAAAAAAAGAAAAGAAAGAAAAAAACATTAGCCTGAGTTAAACAGGAATAGGATGGTAGGGGAGTGTCTGATATATTTCAGAAACCCAAATAAATTATTTTTATGATATCTTTGATTTGGAACTTTATATGACAGTTTCTTCCATGAGTTGTCTGTGAAATGGGATAGTTATAAAAATCCCTATTTCATAAGATTGCTGGAAAGATGAAATTAAATGCATGCAGTGTGCCTGGCACAAGGAAAATATGGACTATATGCACTGTGTTGTTACTTGTTAGTAATTGCAGCAGGAGCTGGCTGTTGTGGTACCCTCTAATCTTGCCACTACATCTGCGTCATTCTCTGATGGTCAGGCCCCTGACGCTGTGATGCTTCATTGGTGCTTGAGGTGTTGGTTTATGGGAGGGAGGCAGGCTTCCAGTGGGGTAGGAATCCTAGCTCTGCCATTTCCCAGCTAGCAGGCCAGCTTCTTCACCACTCTACTCATTGGTTTCCTCATCAGTACATTGGGTTAATCACATTAGAGGTCACACATGTGCTCTGAAGGTTGTTATGAGGATTCGATAGGCTAATATCTGTCAAGTGCGTAGGACAGCGTCTGGCACATTGTAAGTGCTAATTGGGATTTGTTAAATAGATGGATAGATAAATAGCTGGGCTGTGGTGTGGAAGGCATGTATGTGACAGTTACGTTTGGAAGCTGGAGGTGAGGCTGAAAAGAACAAGTTATGGGCATTTCCTTCTAGAAGAAAAAAGCAATGTAGGGACCAGGTGGGAAATACTTAGAAAAAGATTGCTGGGTTAATAGTGGCATTAGTTGTGAAATTTCCCACCCCCTTCCCTGAAGATCTTTAGCCCAGGGCGATGTAGATATAAGCCTGCTAGAAACTTGAGATTGGATTATCAAATGAGCACTTAAGGTCCTGTTTGATGTAACACCGAGATTAATTACACAGACTGGACTTGGCTAAAACCTAAAGCATGATTTAAGAAATAGATACAAGCGATAAGACAAAAACAATCAGAAAAGGGATGAAAATTTCAGCTATGTGGGTTTTCTTAAAGGGCTTCTTTTGGTTTTGTTTGTTTTTAATATTTGAAGACTTCCAGGAGTGTACCATTCTTAACAACAAAACAAAGCAAAACAAAAAACACCAGTGTTCATAGCAATCTACTGTTCTTTGAATTGAGCTTTTGGCGAAATGGGGATTTTGCAATAGGAAAATTTTATGTAATAGTCTACGTTCAAAAGTACAATAACAGCAGTCTTCTTTTTGCATTTCTATTAAGCTCCTCTGCATGGTTGGCTTACTCTTAGGCTCTGACTTATTGGGCTCAAGTTTACCTCTTGTGTCTGGGAGGACGCCAGCCACACACCCTTGGCCCAGCTTTCAGGTGTTCCCCACTCACCCAGCTCAAACTGCGGGAGGTGGCTGTTGCATACTTGTCTTCACACAGAGCTGTTGCTCTAAAACTCAACCTCCTGCTTGTCTAGTCTACAGCAACATGCGGTCTGCCTACTGACCCAGCTCCCGTGGCTCATGGCCCGTGGGCTGTGGTCTGGGGCTGCTGGTGGTAAAAGCTACAGACGGGGATGCCTTTGGCAAGGTGGTATGGCTGGCCTTGGCTGCAGTGGTCATCGGTGTCTGCGTCAGGGTGACTGGCCTTGTGGCTGTCCCTGGAACTGATGGCTTCTGATAGGCTTTTGTTGTCTCACCTGTAAGAAAACGGGATTACATCTGGGCCTTCAAAACAGCTGGTAGGCTCTTACAGGACTAGAAATAAAAATAAAATGAACAAGTGTTTACTGAACACCAGCTACATGCGAGGACCTGTGCTAGGCCTGTTGGGGGTGAGATCTGGATGAATGACCCACCATTCTTGCCCTAAAGCAATGTACAGTCTGGATGGGGAGAGAAGCCAATAAGCAAACCAAAGATGAAATAGCAATAAAATATTCAAATGACAGCTCAGGACTACAACATAGACAAGGCAGAATATGATGAATTGTCAAATTAATTTGACGGAAACCAAAAGCAACGGTCCATAAACATATTGTTCAATTAGCATTGGCCTAGAGATAGTGTCCCTGTGTAGTGCAAATGGTTAATGCAGTCAGCTGCTCACCAAAAGTTTGGAGGTTTGAGTCCACCTGGAGGTGCCTCAGAAGAAAGGCCTGGTGGTCTACTTCTGAAAAATGAGCCATTGGAAATCCTGTGGAGCACAGTTTTACTGTGACACACATGGGGTCACCATGAGTCAGAGTCGACTTGACAGCAGCTGGTGTGTGTGTGTGTGTGTGTGTGACCACCTCCGTGGTCACACTGCCTTCTCCTCTGTGTGTGGTAAGATCTCCCTCTATTTCCCTCTTATAAAGACACGTGATTGCATTTATGTTTCACCTGGATAATCCAGGGTCATCTCCTCAGCTCAAGACCCTTAATTAATCACATCTGCAAAGACCCTTTTTTTTTGTCATAGACAGTGAAATTCACAGGTTTCAGGGATTAGGATGTGAATATCTTTTGGCAGCCATTTTCCAGCCTACCACAGCATTCCAGCTCCAGCTTTAAGTCTGCTGAGGACTGACATGTTTTTGGTACACAGAAGAGTAAGCCAAGGGAAATAGCGTCTGAGATAAGAAGGCTGTGCCTTCTTTGTGGGAACTGTCTTCCTTGACATTGGGAAACAGTGACAGAACCATTGCCCTGGAAAGGCCACACAGACATATGGTTGGGTGTGTAAACCCACTGCCCAGTGCTGGCACCTGCTCATTTCCCCACCCTGATGCAGTCTCCTCCTGGGAGGTCACAGCAGTGATGAGGGAGAGCAGGTCAGCGCACAGCCCTGGAACTGGGCTGGAGTTCAGTCGTTCAATCTTCTCCTGCAGGCATTAGCTGGCGAGGTAGGAAGCAGCTCCCTCACTTACCCTGTTTCTACCTAACAAGTGGGTCGCCTTTACATCTCCCCGTGGACTGTGCCAGACAAATTACTAAAGAGCTGGCAGCAGCCTCCAGGGTTCAGCCAGTCACTGCACCATCCTCAGGCAAAACTGAACCTGCATGACTTGTGACATTTCCATTACTTTAAAGGAACTGAACTTTCATAACAAATTCTAGGGACGTTTCTAATTTCTCCAAAGTATTCCTCTCTGTGGTAAATGCTACCAGGCATTAATTTCTCTTTAGGGAGATGCAGGCCTGGGTTCAACCTACATCATACAGGGAAAAGCCATTTGGTAGAATCACTTGTGGAGTTTATGAAATGTTGTTGTTAGGTGCCATTGAGTCGGTTCTGACTTGTAACGACCACATGTACAACAGAACAAAACACTGCCCGGTACTGCACCACCCTCACAATCGTTGTTATGTTTGAGCCCACTGTTGCAGCCACTGAGTCAATCCATCTCCTTGAGGGTCTTCTTCTTTTTTGCTGACACTCTACTCTACCAAGCATGATGTCCTTCTTAAGGGACTGGTCCCTTCTGATAACATGTCCAAAGTATGTGAGACGAAGTCTCACCATCCTTGCTTCCAAGGATCATTCTGGCTGTACTTCTTCCAAGACAGATTTGTTTGCTTTTCTGGTGGTCCATGGTATATTCAATATTCTTCACCAACACCATAACTCAAAGGCATCAATTCTTCTTCAGTCTTCCTTATTCATTGAGAAGCTTTCGCATGCATATGAGGCAATTGAAAACACCATAGTTGGGTCAGATACACGTTCGTCCTCAAGGTGCTATCTTTGCTTTTTAACACTTTAAAGAGGTCTTTTGCAGCAGATTTGTCCAATGCAATACGTTGTTTGATTTCTTGACTGCTGCTTCCATGGGCGTTGATTGTAGATGCAAGTAAAATGAAATCCTCGACAACTTCAATCTTTTCTCTTTTTATCATGATGTTGCTTATTGGCCTAATTGTGAGGATTTTTGTTTTCTTTATGTTGAGGTGCAATCCATACTGAAGGCTGTAGTCTTTGATCTTCATCAGTAAGGGCTTCAAGTCTTCTTCACTTTCAGCAAGCAAGGTCGTGTCATCTGCATAATGCAAGTTGTTAAATGAGTCTTCCTCCAATCCTGATGCTGCATTCTTCTTCATATAGTCCAGCTTCTCAGATTATTTGCTCAGCATACAGACTGAATAAGTATGGTGAAAGGATACTGGAAGAGGCTGCATAGACCCAGCTCACATTTTTTTTCCCCATTGCTAACTGGCATATTATCTCATGATCTTGTTCCTCTCTCAGGTCCCAGTCTCTACAAAAGGTTTAAGATTAACCAGTGTTCCTCCTTGGAGGGTGGAAAACAAGTGATAATGATCTAAGAATGACAAACCAAACAAAGCACCCATCTTGGGACAAGAAAACCAGGATGTTGCCAGATAACCCCCAAGAAAATATTAGCTCATCTGGGACGTGACCACCTCAAGGGGGACTAACACAAACTTCTAAGACCCGTAATCCTGTCGCTATAAAAGCCTTCAGCTGATCTCCAGTAGGGGAGACGGGCTTTTTGGAGGAATCTATTCCATTCTGTCTCCTATATATTGATATATAATAAACTCTTGCTGCTCACGTCACCCCGTCTCAGAATTGGTTATTGCGGCAGGCGGCTCCAATCCTTGTTACTGCAGTAACAATACAACCCTGACACACAGGTTCCCTGACTTTAAACCAGACAGTATCCCTCGAATGACTGCCTCTTGGTGTATGTATAGGTTTCTTACGAGCACAATTAAGTGTTCTGGAATTCCCATTCTTCACAATGTTTTCTATGGGCTGTTGTTTTTGCCCTCTCTCCTTTGTGGATCAGAACTGTCTTCGAAAGGGGAGACAGAAAATCACTCTACCCCAATCGCTCCCAGTTGCTTACTGAACATAACGCCCTTGATATGATTCATGGGATAGGTTCTTCTTGAGTAATCTGAAGTAAAACCAGTAAAATAGTTTCTTCACACAATCTCAGAGACATGGAAATTTGGTTTCTTTTTAAAGATTTTCATAGGAAAGAATTTATACAACTTCCTTCAGGCCCTTAACATATTACTCTTTTAGATATGGTCAAGAGCAGCTCCAGACAGCCACCTTCTCAACAGCAGCAGGAGGTGTGTCGGAGCTCCGCATACCTGGTTCATCATCAGAATCAAGGTGGAGGTGTTAAAATGCAGATTCCAGGGCCCCCATATGATTTGAGAACCAGAGTCAACACCAGGATGGACTCCTCGATCCACCCTTCACCAGCCTGGTCACTAAAGCTTTGTGAGCTTGGTGTGACCATAATACTCCCCAGCATATTTTCTCGTTTTCAAAATGGGCGACTGGGAGCTTGACATAGCTAACGCCATGATGAACCTATAAGTTTTTTTTTTTTTCCCTTTTTCTTTGCCTTCTCCTTTTCACATACCTTTGTTAATGACTTTGGTTTGCTCAGTCTGGCCGCCTGTGGCTTACGACCCCCAACAGGAAGATTAGAGACCAGATGTCAGATATGGAAATATCTGGTAGGTATCTCTTTAGTATGATAAAGAGTCTCTTGTAATTATCTTACAGTGTATAACAACACTTCTAACCTTTGTAAAAGTCATATATAAACTCTAACGCAAAAATGCTTTTTGGGACTCCATAGAGACAGCCTGTGTTGCTGTTGGATCCCCGGTGGTGTATATCTCCTAAAATAAAACTTTCTCACTCTTTCTGACTTGGAGTATGTTTCATTGGCTCAACTGCTTCAGAGCAAGGACCTTATTCAGGTAACATCAGCCCCTTTCGTTGTAAAATGGGGATGGTAACACCTGTTTTGCAGCCTTGGAAACCACTACATGTAGGGTCTTGCCAGGCTTCAAGCTAGAGAAACTTCCCTTTAAAGTCGCAGTCCCACCATGGAGTAAGTTTTTACCAATTCAAATGAAAAACTCCAGTAAAAATCATAAAGGGATGCTGTTCTTTGTTGCTACTTTTCCTTAAGTGATGAAATTCCTTTAGAGACTGAGGCCAGCAGCTGTCAGGTTTCAGCATGCCCCTGTAAAATGCTTCCTGGTCTCTCCGAATGTGAGCTAACAGGTAAATCAGGTTAAGATGACCCCCTAAAGCATAAGAACCTTCTTCCAAGGGAAATTATCAAACTGGAAAAATAGAAGTCATCTTGGTTCACCTTGTGCAGCTCACGCGGAAAACAGGCATTACCTGAGACATAAATGCCGTTCCCGCAGGCAGTTAGCAGCCATTAGGCAGCAACTGTTATTTGGCTGGAACCTAAAGCTACTCTGAGCTGAATAAAAATAGGTAAGTGTTGGTTTGTAGGCATTCACTAATACCTGGGAAGGCACATCCCTGGCACCACAGCAAGAAAAAAAAAAAATTGTTGTCAATTCCTACTCACAGCAACCCCATGTGTGTCAGAGTAGAATTGTGCTCTGTGGGGTTTTCGATGGCTGATTTTTTGAAAGTAGACCACCTGGCAAGACCCCATGCGTATTGGTCTCCTAGGCTTCTGCAACAAAATACCACAAATTGGGTGGCTTACAAGATCAAAAATTTGTTGTCTTACAGTTGTCGAGGCTTGGAGCACGAATCAATGGTGTTGTCAAGGCCTCTCTCTGAAGGCTCTAGGGGAATGAGGATCCTTTCTTATCTCTCTCAGCTTCTGGTAGCCCTAGGCGTTCCTTGGCTTGCCGGGGCAGCGTCACTCCAATTGCTGTCTCTGCTATCACAGTGCCTCTTCTTTTTTATAGGACCCCACTCAGATTAAATTAGGATCCACCCTACGCCAGTATGACCTTATGTTGACTGATAACATCTTCAAAGACCCTATTCCAAACAAGGTCACATTCATGGGTACCAGGGGTACCATGAATAAACTTATCAGGGACACAATTCAATCCATAACACCATAACATCAAGTATCCCTTTTATGTTAGAATCCTTGGAGTTTAGCTCAGGGTCTGGTACATAGGAGGTGCTTACTACATAGTTATTGAATCAATGAATACATGAATGAATACATTTAATTTTTCAACTCTGATGACCATGGATGATCTAGTAATAGGAAGCTGAAAGTAATACCTGAAGGATGAGATGGTTTGGTATAGGGGACAAGTGATATCAATAGAGCCTGGCACTGTCACTATGACTTTGGCTATAAGGAGCCCCTGGGAGGTGCAAATCGTTAACATGCTTGGCTGCTAAAGGTTGGATGTTCGAATCCACCCAGAGGTGTCTCAGAAGAAAGGCTTGGCGATCTACTTCTGAAAAGTCAGCCATTGAAAACCGTACTCTGACATATGTGGGTTTTCCAGGAGTCGGAGTTGACTTGATGGCAACCTTTTTTTTTTTTTTTGCCATAAATTTATAAATTTACATACCAGCAAATTGCCAGAGAAGTGCCCCAGCTCACAACACTCCTCCTGGCTGTCAGTCACTAAGCCACATGGACCCAGTGTTTGCTGGTGCTGGAGAGGTGAGCTGGGCCCTGGTGCTTGGGTAGACAGAGATGAAGTTACAGAAATGATCTCTTCTGTGGAGGACTGCAAACCAAATGCATTTCAAAATCAAAGACATCATTTGGCTATAGTTTCTATCTCCTCAGGGAGTCTGGCAGTACAGTGTTTAAGTACTTGGCTGCTAACTGGAAGGTTGGCGGTTTGAACCCACCAGCTGCTTCATGGAAGAAAGATGTGGCAATCTGCTTTCCTAAAGATTTACAGCTTTGGAAACCCTATGGGGGCAGCTCTACTCTGTCCTGTAGGGTCGCTATGAGTCAAAATGGACCCAATGGCACTGGGTTTGTTTGTTTTGGGTTTTCTACCTCTTTCACCCCCCCCCCCCACTTCACATGCTTTAATGGGATACAGTCAGAGGTTGAGTGCAATTTGGGCTGGGTAGATCTGTGCCCTTGGGCAAGTTACTAAACCTCTCTAAGAATCAGTTTCCTTGTCTATAAATGGGGACAATACCAGTACTCTGCCTCAGGGTTGCTATGTTGCACAGTGCCTGGCACAGAGAAAGTTGATAGCCACAGTCACAGGGGGTGATATAAGATTCTTCCTGTTGTCCCAGGATTCTGGTTAAGGCTCAAAGCTGAAGTCAGAAGGCCCCAACTACCCCTGTTCTGAATGTGCAGGGGTGCCCCTGTGTAAAATGGCAGTAGTAATAATAACGATGTCAGAACCTGTTTAACTTAAGGGGAGATAGGGCAAGTCAAGATCAGCTCAAGGCTGATCCCTCTGAGGTGGAGGTCAGACATATCTCCACTCTCCAACCTTTTTACCAATTCTGACACCAGCTGTCCCTCCCACAGCACTCTCTACTTCTCTGCTGAGTTCGATAATCCGTTGCAATGGCCACACATAACTCACAGACTGTACTTATAGTTAAGAGGTTTATTGAAGAACAGGGTACAAGTTGGGATCAGGATCAATAGGCTACAACTCAGGAATCAGGAAGCGTGTAGGCAGTCTCCCTTCTTCAGTGCAGGATAGCTCTGTCAGCTCCTCTTGGCCCCCTGAGGACAGGTTCTTCTCAGCCCTCTGATGACAGGTTCCTCTTGGCCCCTTCAGGACAGGATCCTCTTGGCCCTGCCATCTGTTACCACAGGCTCTGCCACTGGGCACCTGGACCTGTAGTCACTGGCTCTTCCACTGGACCCCTTCAGGACCTGTCATTGTGTTCAGTTATTGCCCTTGACCATGTCATAGCTCTTTTAGGAGGTTCCTTGCCTTCTCTTGTCTCTGCTTCTTCTCTCTTATTTCTTCCCTCTCTGCTTCTCTTCCTGCTTCTTCCTGTCTCTCAGCCTTTGTGGGGCTGGCTGCTTAAATACACAAACTCCTTGTCAATTTCAAGGTATGGCACTCCCACCAGGGCCATGAACAGACCAATCCCTTCTGGGTAAGTCACAGACACTTCATTTGCATATTAGGCAAGGCTGGGCTACAACCCATCTCATTCGTATAGTCTATTTACCAATCCCTGCAAGGTGCATACCAATAACAGGGCAGGCTGCAGCCCAGGACCAAACAAAAACTATCAAACCAAGTTGTTTATAGCTTACCCAGGAAATGTCAATCAACCTGGACAAAAGTAACAAACCCTCTGGGGTAGAAAACTAGGGCAAAAACAACTCCTCAGGGCCTAGGGGAAAAATATCTCAAGCTGCTTTTCCAAAGAACCAAGGCAAAAGGCTACATAAAGGATCTCATTTCACCACACCCTGAACTGCCCACAAGTGGGGCCAGTTTGCTCTGCCCGGAGTTTGCTCAGAGTCCATTCCAGTAGAACTGGCACAGTCATCCCCTACCTCAGCCCAGCTAGCGAGGGGAAGGACTGGGCCAGAGGAGGAGGGGCCACCGTTTGGGAGTGCAGTATTCAGGGTGAGAGGTTATGCTTTCTCTTCCTACATGCTTTGTTCTCCCCAAGCCAAATCAGGGTGCTGCAAAAGAATCATTCATTAAGATTGCAGGCGCCTGTGGGAGGGAAGGTGGGTGTCTTAGTTCTGCTGATATGCTCTGAGTTGCAGGGCCCAGAGGCCCACCCTGGTGCACTGCAGGATCTAAGTTTGGAAAGAAGGTTTTGGAGTATTCTGGGATCCTAGAAGCACCCTCTCTCTCATGGTAAAAATAGGAGATGCTTGACATGTGGTCCCTGAAGTTGTGGGACTTACTTGAACATAGTGACAGTTTCTGCACTAGGGATATCTGAGTGTGTGTGTATGTAGGGGTGGTGGTGGTGGTGGTGCTGGAGTGGTCCAGGTCAGCAGGGCTCAGGAGGCCAAAGCTGAAACGAAATGAGAAGTATGCCACCTCACCTCATCCAAGTTCTCTGCAGACCCTGGAGGTGTAGAAGAGAACCCCGGCTGTTCCCTTAGCTTTGTGCTAGGGGACAGGAGAAGAGGGGCTGCCCAGGGGTGTGGGCCAAGAGATGGGATACCTAACTTGGAGAAAGACTTCTGGCCGAACACTGTCCCTTTGCCCCTGATATCCACACACAACACCTACTCAGAAGTCGCTCAATTAGCCTAGCTGGGATAACAGAGAGACCAGGGACACTCTCCCCCACCAACTGACCAGTCACTTAAGGAAATTTCTGTGACCGACTCTTCTTCCCTGTATGTACCCACACTGAAAGAGGAAAGGTGATATCTCAGAAATAGTCCATGAGGCACTACCTCCTACTGCCAGCTTAGGGGTGGGGGTGGGTGGGTGTACAACTATATCCTTGCAGTTGAAGCAAAGCAAATCGTCCAGAGTCTGGATTACTGGACTAATTATGAAGTTATTAAAGACATAGTAGTTGGGGGCAGTTACGGAAGAGGGGGGCATCATTCTTTAACTGTATGCCAGGGTTCCTCAAATTAGGACACTATTATTAGTGTAAGAAAACATAGTATCATGGCTTAGAGAGGGGTTTCTGGAGCCAGACTGCCTGGGTTTGATTCTCAGCTCTGCTACTTGCTAGCTGTGTGGCAAAGAGTAGGTTACTTAGCCTCTCTGTGCTGTGTTTTCCTCAAGCTCTAAATTAGGGCAATAATAATATTTACCTATGGTGTCGGGGTGATTAAACACATGATTATTGTTCTCTTGGAGCAGTGCCTGGCATACAGCAAGTGCTCAATAGATGCTAACTTCTATTGCTATTCTTAAACCATGTTCACTTTAAGTACATGAACAGAACCTGAACAAAATAAAAAATCAGCTAGCCCATCAAGTTTCTGGAAGCCATGCAAGATCCCATTAGAAAGCAATTCCCAAGTTCTCTTTGCCCATGTGGGAAATCACAGCACCTTACAGATACAGTATTGCCTGGCACAGTTCTCACTTTAGCCCAGAAATCTATAAAAAGGCATTTTCCTTGCCTGAGGTCTGCCTGCACCCCCTTTTACAATTCACACGGAAGCTGGGTTGGTACAACCAACCCACAGATAGTGTGGGTTTTGGCGTGGGTTATTTGAATTACTGCTGTCCATTGAGGGAATCTGTTATCACATAAGCCACATCGTTCTCTTTGCTTCCCTTCATTTCGTACCTAAGTAGATACAGTCTTTTCCCTTTCAGCTGCCGGGAAGCACTTCCAGACAGAATGTCATGTCATCTTCTAAAGTAACAATACAATAAAAATTCAAGGCAATAGTCACTCTGAACAAAGATGGCACAAATACAGAGACAATCCTGGAATTACTAAAACAAAACAAAACAAGCAAACAAAAAAATAAGGCCTTCACTCTTCAGCCCCAGCCATCTGATCCTATTGATTTCTGTGCCCATGTTCCTGGAATCTGTTAAAATATTACTGGAGTCAGTGGAGCCTGATTGTTGAAGATGTTAATTTCTACACTATCTCCTAAAACACAACATTGCATATTACAAACCCAGAAGATTTAGATGAAATCCCATGCAAACACTTGCCTGCTTTGGCAGCGGGGCTTTTGGAAGATGAATATGTAAGAGCCGACGGGTAGGTTACACCCTTTTTGGGTTTTCCTTCTGCAAAAAAGGAAAAAAAACTGATTTATCTCTAGAGCGAGAGGTTTTAGATGGTTCTGTACTGATAAGCTGATTCCCTTTTTCCAATTTATCGCTCTGGAGTTCAATAAAACCAGTCTTCCTTGTGCTGAATTGTTGGTTACGATTAGAAAGTCAAAGTGGCATTTTCCCTTCCTGTATAGCCTGCGTTTTATTAATATTAGAATGGAAGCAATAAAATCTCCATGATTCAGAGTTGCTTCACATTAGCAGTCTTTATTTCACCCACGAAGATGTCATGTCAGCTAAGGATTTCATATATGTGGCTTTGAATGTGTAACTAAGTCCTTAGATGAATCTAAAACATTCCACAGTGCTCTCCTGTCAGATGATGGAGTACGCTCTTCCGGTCGCTGCCTCTCTCTTTCACTGACCCTGTGGATCTATCTGAATTCCTTGGCACTGAAGAAACCTGAGAGTAGTGAAGATCAGCCTTGGGAATAACCATTTGTTACCCACCTAGGGAGAGAAACTTGTGAGGAGGAGGAACGCTAATGCCTGTCACGGGAAACAATGAAGGTATTAAAAAAAAAAAAAAAAAAAGAAAGTTATCAGGTGGTCGGGGCTGGTTAAAGTCACAACCAAGTGATAGGACTGAAGAATTGCCTGAGAAGGCTGCTGCCTGCAAAGTCTTACTACAACCCTGAAGTGATACCGGAAATTCCACCAAGTGAGTTTTGTTCTGAGATTAAACTGGATTGTAGGTAAGCCCCCTGAAAGCAGGTAATTTGTCTGACTTATTAACCGTTGAATTCCAAGGACCTAGCCCTGGTGGCGCAGTGGTTAAGAGCTTGGCTGCTAACAAAAGGTTGGCAGTTCGAATCCACCAGCAGCTCTTTGGAAACCCTATAGGGCAGTTCTACTCTGTCCTATAGGGTTGTTATGAGTCGGAATTGACTTGACTGGACAATGGGTTTAGATTAGTGTTTACAGGTCCCCAGGTGGTACAAGCAATTTGCAACCAACTATTCACCTAAAGGTTGGTGGTTCAAACTTACCCTTTGGCTCCATGGAAGAAAGACCTGGCGATCTGCTTCTGTAAAGATTACAGCCAAGAAAACCCTGTAGGGCAGTTCTATTCTATAACACATGGGGTCACCATGAGTTGGAATCAACTCACTGGCAATGGATTTTTTTGGTTTTTGAGAAGCAGTGTTTAGGAGTCCCTGGGTGGTGCAATTAAGAGCTTGGTTGCTAACTGAAAGTTTGGAGGTTCAAGTACACCTAGAGGAGCCTCAGAAGAAAGACCTGCCTATCTAGTTTATAAAAATCAGCCACTGAAAACCCTATGGCGCACAATTCTACTCTGACACACATGGGGTCACCATTAGTCAGTCAAGTGGACAGCAACTGTTTTTTAGAGCAGTGTCTGGCATGTAGTAGGTGCTCAACAAATATTTATTGAACAAATGAATATCTTAATGCTTAGATCTTTGTTAAAATTCAAATACCCATGGGAGGAAAATCCCCCATTATTGAATATTTATTTCTAATAATGAAAGCATTCCAGCTGTTCACTGAGGGAATGTTGTTATAGGATGGGCCTTGGGGAGGAGATGGGGAGGATTGGGGCACAGGAGCTGAAGGGGGTGGAACAGAACCTAGTCCATGATTTGCCAAACATCCTTTTGACACAATGGACTGTATGATCATGAAGCAGGCACAGTGACAAGATTTTAGGAAGGGTCTGGGATTGGAAATAAGAAAATCTAGGTTTCTGTTTCTATTTTGCCATGAATTAACTGGCTCAGCCCCTGATACTCTCTTCTGTTTTTTCACTCAGAAAATATGGATAATAACATGATCCTACCCGCTACACAAAGTTGTAAGGATCTAATGGGGAAAAAAAATCAAAAGTTTAAGAACTATAACCTAACCAAACTCTTTGCTGTCAAGTTGATTATAAAACCTGTTGCCATGGAGTCGATTCTGATGCATAGCTAGCCTGTAGGACATAGTAGGGCTGCCCATAGGGTTTCCAAGGCTGTAATCTTTATGGAAGCAGACTGCCTCCTCTTTCTCCTGTAGAGCGGCTGAACCACTAACCTTTCACTTAGCAGCAGAGCACTTTAACCACTGCGCCACCAGGGCTCCTCACCTAGAACTTGGTATTTCCCGGTTCTCCACTCATGTCCGAGCCTGCCACACTAGAGGTTGTTTCAGACCCACTGAGATCCCCATGGCTGCAGGCCTCACTTCATCACCAGAGAGCCATGCAAAGACATCATCTCCCCGTGTTTATTACTCTTCTCACGTCTGATATCCTATGGCTCTTTCTGCTTCTATTCAAAAGGAATAGGAGTCTGAGCTCAGTTTTCTGAAATGTGGGGATCAAAGAACACATGGCTGTATTAGGCAGGCCCTCACCAACCTTTCCCATTCCTAGACTGGGGAAAGATCATTCTGACCCAAAATGCATACTCCCCTCCTAGCCCACCAAGGTCATTAATTGAAGCAGCACGGTGACGTGTGAAAATTGGAAATAAAAACCCAGAGAAAGTTCACGGGGGCATGTGAGCCTTCAGAGAAGGATTCTGACACAATCCAATTAAACTTGTTGGCCGCCAGCCTCTGAATAAGGGGCAGTGCTCTTTGGCGGCCAGTTGATATCCATACGCTGCAGTGCACTCTTCCAGCTCATTCATTTGAGAGAGCCATTCCAGAAGCACAAATGTTTATTATCACTGGCAAAAAATATTTTTGGCTAAATGTCACCAGGTGGAGTGAGGGGAGATGGAAGTTGAGATTTATAGGGAATAATCTCAGCAGATTGATTTTCACTTAAAAAACCCCCAAACATCTCTACTCTCATGGAATTAATTTTCTTTTAAACTTCTGTTGGGATTCCTGGATTGCAGGCCAAGCAGTTAAGAGTGAAACACTCTTATCCAGGGGTTACTTGGTAAACATCTATGTGGCGATCCTATTTCTCTCTATGCTCAACAAATTTGTATTCTAGACATAAGCATTTTTATATGGCCCCGTTCTGAATTCTTTGTTACAAGGCAAAGATCCACAGTGTGGTGGCGGATTCCCTCCCACTAGCTTCCATAGAAACTAGTCTAATTTGAACCCTGAGAGTGTAGAATTCGGCAGGCACAGGAGGAAACAGGGATTACTCAAATTGAGAAAATCTTAAAAAGTCTGTTTGCAGTCCTTTTACAACTCTGATCCATGGCAGATAATGGGGCTTGGGGCCTGGGGTGCATAAATGTGCCTGAAAACCACCTAGATTTGAAGACCTTCTATATTCTGAGACACTTGTGTCTTCCCTGCCTCAACTGGCCTTCCATGGGTGGTCAGAAGAGTTCCATAGCTCCTCTTGTTAAGATACCAGGAAGATTTGCTGGAATCTAGTTTAAAATCCCATGGAAACTCCTTGGAGAAAATGGGAGATTCAAGATCTACAGTGAAGTAAGTACAGGATGAGGATAAAACATTGTGTTTGAAGGTTAAAATAAAATGAAAGTCAAAAGGATAAAATAAAGTTCGAAGAGCTTTCGGTGGCTATACTTGGAAAATTTGAGCATCGAAAAGAATAATGAGGATATGGATTAAAACATGTTGTAATTAAGAAAAAAGAGTTAGGATGCTAACTAACAATTGTGAAAGGAATACTCAAATGAGAAAAACTATAATTTTGCGATCACTAATGTAATACACACTATAGCAAAGATCATCAGTGGATGTTAAACAACTGGGTGAAATCTGTTGGGGAACAGGCTATTCTCACTGTCTCAAAGTATCACCCTACAGATTGCTTTTAATTACAAGGTATTTTTCCATGGAGGGATATGGAAAAGTAGCCAAGTAATCAAATTTAGCATCACCAACAATTAGACAAACTGATATTATATGTCTTCTGATATAGCTATCGTGATATGACACAATGGATATGCTTTGATACTAGCCATGTAGTATCCTTGCCAAAATGTTTAATTTAACCTGAATCCAGTCATGTGGAAACAGTTGGACCAATCCAGATTGTGCGACAAAGTATAAAACAACTGACCTGGATTCTTAAAAAATGTCAATGTTATCAATAACCAAAATAGGTAGTGGTCATGGCGGACAGTTCCACATGCCACTAAACAGACATGACGACTAAATACAATTCATGATCTTTGATCACATTGTGGATCCAAAAAAAAAAAAAATTGTTATAAAGAATCTTTGGGAGGGCAGAGCCAACATGGTGCTATAGACAGAAGCACCACACCGTCCCTCCACAGTGAAGACCCAAAAAACTAAGTTAGACAGAGACAAACATCAATCCTGGAACCCTAAGCCTCAAATGAAAGATAAAGAACTCAACCAAGCACCAAATGGAATAAGAAACTGAGAGACAACAGAGAGCGAGGAGAGATACAAGCAGAGGTCCCCTATCAGTAAATGCAGAATGGATTTGCAGCATGGATTAGCCATCTTGGACTCCTGTTGGAGATTGGTGGGCAGGGAGTACGGGAAAGCACCTTCATGGGGTTCCTAGCAGAAGACAGAGCACCCAGTAACCAGCGATATATGCTTTCCCACCCCCCACCTTTCTTCCCTCTGCTCAGCCTCTGCTGCTTCCCAGCAAGCCAGGTGACTGCGGCCTGGGAGGCGCTGGCTCCAAGCCACTTGGATCCACCCTGCCCACAATGGCCGGCTCCTTCAGTGCCATTTCGTGTTGCTGGTGTTACTTTTTTCAGCTTCTTTTGGTTTCTTCCTTGCCTCTCAGCTCCTCCCCCTCCATTCCCTGGAACACTTGGCTCCATGTGTCATCTTTTCTTCCTCTTGACAGGCTGTGGAACACCACTTGGCTGGGGAACTGCCTCCCGGTCTGTGCCGCCACGCTGGTGGGATTCCTGGGGACTTTTTTTTTGTTTGATTTCTTTTTCTTTTCAAGGCTTCTTTCAAGGCCACACAGTACAGCCCCTTCTAGCTGGGCTGTACTGTGTGGCTTGGGATCCACTTCTCTG